GATCCCCTACTCAGATGTGGCCCATTGGCAACTCAGTCTCCATGTGGAACTCTGAATGATGTGATCAGGGGCTGCCTCTATCATGAACTCAGCTGACTGCTCTCTGATCACTCACCCCTGATGATGCAGCCTTGCCAGGCCATGGAGGAAGAAGATCCAAGCAGTCCTGATGAGACTTAACAAGCAATAGTGGAGAACTGGTGCTTTCCATAGACTAGGGGAAGGGGAAGTGGGGAAGAGGGATGGAGGGGATGACTGGGGAAATTGAGAAAGGGGGCTTCAATCAAGATATATAATGAATAAATTGGAAATAAAAAATAAATAAAAATTAACAACAAAAATACAGAAAAAAAAGAGTCAGTTCCTTCAATGGCTGGCTCTTTGATCACCTCCACCTGAGGGAAGGTAACTTACCAGGCCACAGAGGAAAGACAGTCCTGATGAGACCTGATAGGCTAGGGTCAGATGGAAGGGGAGGAGGACCTCCTCTATCAGTGGACTGGGGAAGGGGCAAGAGAGGAGATGAGGGAGGGAGGGCGGAGGGATTGGGAAGGGATGAGGGTGGAGGCTACAACTGGGATACAAAGTGAATAAATTGTAATAAATAAAAAAAATACATTAAACAAAAAGTCAGTTCTTTTCTTCCACCATATAAATCCAGGGATTGATGTCAGGTGGTCAGGCTCCATAGCAAGTGTCTTTGCCTGCTGAGCCATTTTATTAGTCCCAAATAGTCGATTTTTAAATGACAAAAACTGAAGGCATCATCTAATAAGGTAAAGAAGTATGTTTGTTGTAATTTTAGTAGTAGCTTTAAATCTGTAATATTAGCAGTAAATAGACATCAAAAGACTAATGCTATGAATAGTGGCTCCAATAAAAAAAAAAACATCAATAACGCAAGCTTTTAAAGAGTTTTTGTTTTGTTTTGTTTTGTTGCTGTTGTTTTTTTCAAGATAGTATTCCTCTGTGTAGCCTTAGCTGTCCTGGGCTCACTTTGTAGACCACTCTGGCCTTGAACTTACAGAGTCCTGGGAGTTCTGGGATTTACAGGCATGCTCCATCTTGCCCGGCTGACTTTAAGAGTCTTTTATATTAACTCAGGTCCATTTTACAGGGTGGAGTCTTCTTCTGAAGTCATGGCTCGACCTGTACTTCAGAATATTTAACCTAAAATAACACAACCTAATAGACAAGAAACATCTTACATGACTTATTTTTTACTCATTCTTTCTGGATATATGGCTTTCATCCCAACAACCCTACTGTATTCCTATTTTATTCTTGCCCAGTGGTATGTTCTTATGTCAATATTTAAAGCCCAAATTTAATATGTTCCACTTTCCACTGTTTTAACAATTATGTCAAAAATTGTTTAGTAATCTTTTTTATAATATTAAAAGTTCCAAATATTTTAGGTTTAAATATGAGGCTCTTTATGCTTGGAGTTATGTAATTAATTATATTATTTGGGCAAAATAACTTCATGAAAGGTATATATATTTTTAAAGATAGTAAGACAACAAATGTTGTCCTTTATAATTTTCAAGGCTTTAAAGTCTCATATTTTAATTTTACTGAATTTTCACAGGGAAGGAAGTACAGGAAAAACTCTTGCCAGGAAAATCAGCACAGAAAGCATAGCGTATGTGATAACTAACCTATCATAGCTTTGGCAAGAGAGCCTCTTCAGAACTCAACAGAATAATGTGCAGAGATAGGCATTTTCCACCTACGAAGAGCAGCTACTGTGAGAATTAAAGTACTTCACGTTTGAGAGAGGGTAACATCATTATTAAATTCATGTTCTCTACCTTTTTTTTTTTTTTTTAAACAATGGGCTTTCAGCAGAAAGCGATCATGGCTTGCAGCAGTAATTACAAGTCGAGCTTTACATCTGAGGAAGGCAGATAGAGGTTTGATTTTGTTTTCAATCTCTATTTTAAGATGATGAGTGCTGGGGGGAAGTTTAATGATTGGCCTGAGATCATCCGCTCAGACAGAGGTGAGGTAGAATTAGACAGACTTCTCTCCTTGTTGAGCTTCTTGTTTTCATCCTAAATGACCCCAATAGATTGTCTGCATTAATTAATGAATATGAAATTTCTTGACATACTTTTTGATTGGGTGAATCCTTATGGCTTTAAAAAAGAGTAAAGAAACTCCTTTACTAACAGAGAAAAAAAAATACCAGACATATATAATTAGGAATTAGAAACAAACAAAAACACCCTAAAACCATTTTCAATTAAATGCAAGCAGTTCATTAAATAATCAAATAACATTGACCTTTGTATGCCACCTATGCCGATACTCATAGAAAGGCAGAGGAACCTAGTACCAGGGCACAACATATTTTCAGATACATTTAGAATGTTTCCTTTCTTTCTCTTAAAAAAAAATCATTGGTCTTAAATATTTCACAATTCTTCCGGTCAGATGTTAATTCTGAAGATTTGTTTTCCTCCAAGCTGAATATACAAAGCACCAATGATGTGAGGTCTTCGTGTTATATAATATATGAGGCTGTTGATTCTTTTAAAGAGTTTTATTTTTCATGATCCCTTGATTGTCTCCATCTCCAAGACTTCACTATATACAGCTCATAACCTTTCAGGAGTAGTAACTTCAAAATAGTAAATAACACAGAAAAATAATACAAAAATCACGTATTTGGTAAGATATATAACAAAGCAGTTATAAAAAAAAAAAAAACCACAACATGTGGCTATTTATGTGCCCCTGCTTGCAAGGTCCTAAATGACCTACCTCTTTCTGTAGCCAAAAATAGCTTTTTATTTAAGTTCTTCTTAAACTTACCTTTTTTGTTAGAGATGTTTCTACATTGTAACCGCTTTCGTAAAAGACGAATCCTTAAAAAAAAAAAAAAGCACTTATGTAAATTTTTAATTTTATGTGTGTATGTGTGGGTGGGGGTGTGTAAGAGCATACACTAGAGAGAATCCGTTCTTTCCTCTAACATGTGGGTTTCCAGGGTTGAACTTGGATATCCAGGGTGGCAGGGAGGGCTTTTCCACCAGCTTCTTGTTGCTTTCTGACTTTCCAACCTTAAGATTTGCACATTTGACAGGATATCAGCTAATCCCCCCAAAATTTAGAATCAATCACACCTTTGTTTTTCTTTCCTGAATTTCAGTCTTACATGCTTTTCCTTGAGTAGTTCATGAAGATACTGTTTTTTCTCATTATGAAATAAAAATGCATATCTGTACTTACATATGTATTTATGTACACACATATATAATTTTAAAAGTTAGCAAGCAGTCTTGGGACTTCCATGTTAAAAAGGAAATTAAAGGAGTGTAGGCTAGATCTCAGTTCTTAACTGTAAAGAAATGGGCTTACTGTCTGTTAGCACTGCCAGTTTTTTAGAAAGAGATGGACTGACTAGATGAGTAAGTGGCTGAGGGGCAGGAAGGCACAGAACACAGTGAAGGTCTGAATATTCTTTATACTGAGAACGTGAAGTCTATTGTACAGTGAACATTTTCTTACAGAGTCCAAAAAGTTTGTGCAAGGTTTGTGCTAGATATCGAAGAATAAACTTTTCTTTCTTTCTTAAAAAGGCAAATGAAGAAACAGATGTTGATTTCAAAAAGAACTGAGCCACTTAATGAACAGCAAAATTGAATCTCAGCGTAGAAATAAAAATAAAGGACATACTGAGTTCCAAGTCATTTTTCAGAAAATGATGTAGCTAAATGTTTATTATTATTATTATTATTATTATTATTATTATTATTATTATTATTAAACACTCACAAAAAGTCTTGTGAGGTTCTTCTCCATTGGAGAAGTCTTCTCCATTGGAGAACAAGGGTCTTTTAGGGACTGTCCCTTTCATCTACAAGCCTTTGTGTTAACTAACGTTTTGGCTTCTCTTGTTTCCAGAAATTATGAGTGGAAGCTTTTAAGTTAGACCTCCGGGCTATTTTGATGGCCATTTTGGGGTTATCTGCACGGGATAACTCTACAAGGAAGGATTATTAGCATTTGGGGGAAAGAGTAGGACAGGCGAGGTTTCTTTTTTTCGTTTTCTGCCAAACAGCACCACTTCGTACTTAGTCACATTCGCACAGGCACCCTTAAGACAAAACCTCTTGGATTAGTTAGACTTGATGGTTCCCCAGCGAGTAAACAGAACCGAGGTGCAAGGGCTCAGTAGTTAAGTCGCCTGCTTAAACTGGACCGGCTGTCACTGTGTGCCTTCCGTCGTTGTTGTTTTCCTGTGGTGGCTGTTTTTCGGGGTTGAAGTTTATATGGAGAGCAGATAAGGAAAGTCCACTCTGCAAGGAACTTTGAAAACGTCTCTCAGAGTATCTCGTTCCTAGGTTGGACATCTCCAGGCTGATGGCTAGCAGGGGTACCACTTTCCTGCTGCCTAAGCAAGAAGGACGGGGGCGCTGTCTGGTGACTTTGCTCGCTTCCTTCAAGGCGGCGACCGCCTCCAGGGATTCGCTCTCCAGCAGCGCCGCTTCTAATGGGGTCCCAAAACCTCTGCACAGTGATGCCAGCACACTGAACCTCCGTGGCAAGCCTCTGGGGACAGTCACCCGGGAGTGCTGGTCACGCCAAGACGCTCCGCGCGGATAGTCACAAAGCGCCCCCGGCCGAGGTTTGTGGGCCCGGCTTCCTCCGTGCATCTTAGCCTCCGGGCCCCGAGCCCCCCACCCTTCGCCCCCGTCCTGCCTCCTCCCCAATCCCACACCCCAGCAGCATCCTCTCCCGGAAACAAGCCTGCTGAGCAAAGGCGGAGGCAAACCTTGGGCCTTCCGCTCTGATTGGTCTCCCCCCGCCGAGCGGGGCGAGGCGGCGATTGGCTGCCGGGCGTTGTCAGTCGCCGAGGCCAGAGCCTTCGCCGGGGAAGCGCATCCCGGCTCCGGTGCTCCGGCTGCCACCCCGGCTGCTCGCCTGCTGCGGCTGAGGAGCCCGCGCGGGCGCCACCGCCGCCGCCGCCGTCCACCGCGCGCAGCCAGCGCCGCGGGGCTTGCGGGAGGCCGCCGGGAGGGGCGGGCGCGCGAGCGGAGCACGAGGAGGCGGAGGCGGGGGAGAAGTGATGCTGGCGCCGGGGATCCGGGCAGCGGCAGCGGAGAATAAGCATCTTCGGGACCCCGACTGCAGCGTCCCCGTGGCCCGCGGGCCAGCCGAACGGCCGGAGACCGCGCGTCCCGCGGGTAAGGTGAGGCTCCCCCCCCAGACCGCTTTGTGATCTTGGGGTGCTTACGAGGCGCCTGGCGGCCGGAGCATCCGGACAAGGGTGTTTGGGACCTGGACAGCGGAGTCCTGCTGCCTGGCCAGGCTGATGCTCGTGCCGGTGCGGCTTCAGCTCCTGCCTTCTCGCTTAGCCAGTGACAGACTTTGACAGCGCGTGGATGGCATTGTGTGTGAGAGAGTGTGGGTATGCGGTGCGCGCGCGCACATGCACGAGGTTTGGGGCACTTTGCAAGGAGAAGAGTAGGTCCCCTTTGGGTGGAATGATGTCCTTCAAGAATCCCGGCTGGGATGGAGTGAACCGGGCGTTTTTAGCGCGGAAGGAGCGAGAACTCGGTGAATCGGAAAGTCTCTCTGTCTCAGAAGGAGCGGGGCAAATTGAACTTTATTGCCTTAATGAAAAGGAGCCCTTGGGTCTAGCGCGCCAGGGGAGAAGCGCATGTACCGACGCTCCCCAAAGTCTTGCCTTACGCCAGGGACTTTGGAGCAGAAAGTAATGGTTGGTCCATCTTGCTGAAGCAAAGAGAAGTTGATGAGGGGCGAAGGCCAGAAGCTAGGGTTGGGGACTGGCCACTTTTAGGGGGCAGAAGCCCTTCGTAGGAGGCTCAGTTCACTTTTCAGGAGCGCAGATTTGGAGCGGAGAGAATTCCGCTCCAAGGGATTGGAGCTTTGGGGCTCAGGTGGTCGCAGCGGGACAACTGGGCAGGGGTGGAGGGGAGCTAGGGTGCGCGTTAGAGGAGTGTCCTGGAGGAGTCAATTCCTCTCCAGCGGCCTTGACAGGAGGGCCATCGTGTTTGGGATTGGTGTGTCCTGGGACAGATGCTGGGAGGGTGGCTGTGCTCGCAGAAACTTCAAGCCTGCCGGGGTCTGGGCCACCAGACTTTGAACACATTGACTTAAAGGTTTCTTTACCGAGCTTCTTCCAGGACGTATGTTGGTTTTTATTTTTGTTTTGTTTTTCTCACACGTTCCATGTTGGTATGCCATTGCGAGCTCTGTGTACACGGCAGGCAAACCCTTTCCGCAGAAGACGGATTTCATGCGCCGCTGCTACCGCTGCTACCAGGCAGTGCTCTCGGGCTGAATCGGGATCTCCCGGGGCTCACTGCAGTGGCTCCCCATTCCCCGTTCAGGACGCACAAACTTAGTGTAGGCGACGGTTTTCTCTGGGATCTGCTGTCTCCGTAGGAATCTCTCCTTTTTGAAACTTCTTGAAATATTTCAGAACCAAGGCACTTTCCCCACCATGACTCAGAAGGGGTTGGGGGAGCTCATTCTGTGACAGGAGATGGGATTTCAGGGAACTGGAGAGGTGGGGCTGGAAGCTCCCTTGACTGGCAGCATTGGGAAAACCAAAATTGGCTCAACAGAGGGAGCTGGCTCTTGAACTGGCCACACCACGTTTCCTGTTTGAAGCTGGGCTATCTTTTAAATCGGAGGAATCTGTTGTCCTAGCACAGAACAAATTACATACAACCAAAAATACCCAGGCTAAAGACTCAGAAACCGCGTTATATGGGCTCATTTCTGGTTTGGGAGAACAGTGAAAATGAAAGTAAGGTACACCATAGGAATATTGTAGGTAGCAAGGAGGGAGCTCTTCAAAACCCCCGCCTTTGCCTCTACGTATTTTTGTAGTTTGCAGAGTAAGGATTCTTATTTTCCCTCTGGCTAGTCACTAAGTTATTCTAATAGAGATGAGCAACTTACAGTAAAGTAGCAGCGATGTTACTCAGTTTGTACCTGAGGGATACATTGTTAATAAATAAATCCAAATAAACCCAAATTCAAAGGAAATTAATAACAGCAGCCAATATTAAAAAGGAACATCTTAGGGGAAATTTAGCATTTGGCCAAATGCTTTTCATATTTCTATCAAGTAGCTTCAAAGTAGACTGCATTATGTATTAGGATCAGTCACAAGTCTTAGAATAGAATAATGAACTCATTTTATTGTGGCCCTTTTAAAGGGCAGGTTTTTACTGTGAAAAAAAGAATGTTTTAGAGAAATATATTTTATAAACAGTGAGGATAATTATATTGATGTATCAGTATATTAAAGATAGGCGTGTGTGTCCATAAAGTAGGATAAATTAGAAGTATGTTTCAGGCAAGCACAGTGCCATTGACTGTAAGGTTCAGGAGGAGGAGGCTGCACAGATTTGTGGGTAGCAATGGGTAGAGCAGACACTTAGTTTCCGTGAGGCACTCAAGTTCACCAAAGTCTTCAGATTTACTTCACTTTTGTCTTGTTTGGCTACAGGGTAGCCCATGAGCTTAGACTGTCAAATTTCTAGAGAGATCTTTACTAACTCAAGTAAAGGTCAAGTTGCCAAATCTCCAGGCCACTAAACTCACTTTTGACATCTACCAAATTTTAATTTCAATATTTACTGAATAATTCCTCTAACAGGCCATGCATTGTACCAGAAAAAAAATGTAATAGGTCCAAATACCTTATGAAACACAACATGTATGTCAAATAATCAAAATAAGAATGTATTCATAAAATATGATAAAATGATTTATGTTCCAGAGATTTCTTTTGATCCATGATGAAATCATTCATTTTCTAAAACTAAAAATTTTAGGGGAGTTGTAAATCTCCACCAGTTTCAGAAAGCTATTTTAATCCTGTCTTTGTTTATCTCTTCCCATGCATGCATGCATGCATATGCTACACGCTCACAGCTCACACACACACACACACACACACAGAGGGAGAGAGAGAGAGAGAGACATCTAGGAGGGAAATGACTGCTCTGCATTAGTAATGAATTCACAAGTCCATTCTGTATGAGAAATATTATTCTTTTGGCAATATTGTCAACCTCTTTAGTAATCTGTTATTGATCAGGATGCTGGCTTAGCCAAGTACATTTTAGCAAATTGTACTTTTTTCCAATTGTGTGGGTGAATGTTGTTGAAGGTTTTAGCACTTCATCACAGAATAAAGACATAGACAACTGCCATTATGTGTTAATACATAAATAGATCACAATAAAAAGCATCATAAACTAGTATCCTGATCTTCTACCAACATGTACTTTCTACACCCTTACTTCATGTTTCAGATTTTCCATTAAGTTTCCTGTTCAGCTAATACATATGGATTCATATATTCTTCTCAAGTACTTGAATTAGTGTTGAAGCTGTCAATCATAAAGATAATCCCAAGTTTGCTGGTCTTGAAGCTCTCTATGAGACTCACAAGAATACACACTGAACATTAGTGTTAATGTAAAAAAAATGGAGCCCTCAAGACAATCAATAAATTGAATGACAAGGTATCTATTGTCTAGAAAGTTGAACATCCAGTCAGTCATGGCAGCCTACACACTTGTAATGCTAGTCTCCCTTCTGGAAGCTGAGGCTGGAGGATTGTGAATTTGAAACCACTCTTAGCTCAAAAAATTGTGAATCAACCCAGAATATGTTTCAGAGCAGCTAAGTTGTGCAACAGTCTACCTTTACCGTAATTAATTTAAATCAGTGGCTTCTAAACGGCATTTATGACCCTGTAAATTCAACTTACACATAAAACGTCATCCAAAAGAATTGAGTGAGATTCAAAGGCATAATTTTAATGAAAGGAATTCTACTTTTTCTGTGTTGAAAGCCTCAAATCCATGACATTTGTAAAGGCCATTCACAAGCCCTGGATTTTGAGGTCAGTGTTGCTGTTAAGATTATCATCAGTAAAAGAGTTACGGTTTGATTTTCGGGTAAAATATGCCAAAACAATTGGAAAGATTCCAGGAAAATCTGTCATCAGTTTAAAATTAAGTTGGTTGTCCAGCAAGTTCAGTTACAAAGAAATTTTGGCAAAATTGGTGCCTTTGCTCCATTTGTGTGTGTGTGTGTGTGAGAGAGAGAGAGAGCGTGCACGTACATATGTGTGTTTATGTAATTATAATTACGATTTTATTTTCTCTGTTTCCTTCCATTCCATTATTTTCTTATATGTTTAGCTTATATCTAAAAAGATCATTATCATTTACCCCATATGAACAGTGGAACTCGCTTAGGTTTTTGAAAACTAGTTTATAAATAATGCATTCATATTAGAGAGACGTGAAGTTTATGCCCTCAAGAAGCTGTGTTGTATGCTAAGTGACTGCAAGCTTGCTCTGCGTCCCTAGCTTGACGGAGAATCAGCATGAAATGTGTACTGATAACATTTATTTCTCAATGGTTTTCATCCCTTTTATGCTATGTTTTTCCTCCTTTCCTTCCCAAATGCAAACTTTTTTAAAACAGAAGAAAGTTAGCACATAGTTTTGTATAGCACTCCCAAGCTGATGGTCCAGCTGTCTGATAGGGGCTAAAGAGAAATCAAATGTATTAAAGTATGAAAAACACAGATTTTTTTTTTTTTTAGCCCAACCCTTCTCTACAAGTAAGAATCAATTTTACTTAAAGTCGGTGAGAGTGAAGCTAGGTTTAGAAGAAGCAAAATTTGAAACAGTTTGTCAGCATGTACATTTACTCTGAGGCTCAACATTTTGTAAAATCACTAGGAAAAGAGAAATGACAGCCTCTACTCATTTATACATAAACTATCTTAATATATATTAATAATAACCTAGTATTATATTGATAAATATAATACTATGGTAGAACCAAAAATGTGATACATTGTGGTGCACTTAGAGATGCCAAGTAAGATTTATTGAATTACACATAGTTTGCAATGAAATGTTTATAACTATGTCAGTTCTCATATCTATAGAATATAGATATATATGTTCTCTAATGCTATATTTATAGACTCTTAAAATTTGCTCTACATGATAGAATCTCTAAACCAAAATATCTTCCTTTCTAGGGTCTCTGAAATTCAGTGATTGAGAGATGAGTTTCAGGGACTCTGAGACATTCCCAAAAACTTGTAGGCAAGTTTTTATTGTTTTTGTTCTTAAATGTTTTAGAATAAAAACATTATGGCAGATAAATCTTAAAAGCTAC